TTAGGATTTAGCGTTTTGGGTTTAGGTGGTGATTGTAGGCAGAGACCAAGATTTGGGAACTGAGCTTAGGCACGGAGAGATCAGATTGGGGGTGTAGTTGCCCATGCCCATGCAGGAGGAAGCGCCATGCAGCACCTAGTGTAGGGGCCTAAGTAATTACCAATACTCAATATATACTTTTCTGGTGGTTCCTTATTATAACTTTAGTATCATTCTAACTATTAAGGCCCCTATATTACCGACTGCTTGGAATCATGCTCGCTCCCTGTCTCCCTCGCAGATAGGTTCGAAGCCCCACAGCCCGAGACACAAGACCCTAAACCCTAAACTAAACCCTTTAACCCAAAAATCCCTGACCTAGCACCAAAGTCTTGCCCGAAGCTGATACCCCGAAACTATGATCGGTTTAGGGTCGCGGGTTTAGGGCTTAAGGCTTTCAAGGTTTGGGGTCTAGGGTGGAGCCTTCCAGAGTAAAGCTTTGAAGGTGCAGCACGCAGCGTTTGCTTTTTAGAACCCAGGGGTCCTGACTAGAACAAGTTCTTGCCGGAACTACACACTGAACAACCCTTATCTAAGACGCTCTTCCCTAAACCCCTAAACCCCTAAACCCTAAACCCTAAACCCTAAACTCCACACCCCTAAACCCTGAACCCGAAACCCTAAACCCTAAACCCAGCTTCTGGCATCAGGTCACCGAAACCCTTCGCAAGTTGTGCAAACAAGGGATCCAAAGGCTGCCATAGAAACTCCAACCTCCCACTCCCAAACACTAGAACCTACCACGTTTAGGGTTTAGGGTTGAGGGTTTAGGGTTGAAGGTTGAGGGTTGTTTTTTTTAAGGGCCCCTTTTCGTGTCAGCAGCAAGCTTCGTGAGGAGCCCATATTGGGCGGGCAAGGATAACAAACAAGAGATTACCCCTCAGACCAAAGGTTGAGGGTTTAGGGTTGAGGGTTTAGGGTTTAGGGTTTAGGGTTTGGGGTTTAGGGTTTAGGGTTTAGGGTTTAGGGTTGAGGGTTGAGGGTTTAGGGTTTAGGTTCTAAGGCTCACAGATTGGAGATGCATCATGATCGCTGAAGAAGCGTCGACGCAGAGCAAGCTAACCGATGGCCCCTTGACGGATTTCTAGCATGTGGAATTTGCGTCTCCAGAACAAACAAGAACCTGCGAATCTACTAGCTTGGTATTTCGGTGATGCTTTCAGGCCATATGACTTCCAGTTCCCAACCCCAAAACTTTGCTGGCTCAGCCCTCTCCACAGCCAGTGCGCCTGACATAAGCCTCCAGCTCTTGGAGGGCGGAGGTTGCCTTGGCTTCAAGGGGTTAGGGTATCAGGTTTATCAAAAATCCTAAACCCCAAAGCCTTTGAAAGCCCTCAGCCCTAAACCCCGAAGCAAAACACACACACACACACACACAAATCCGAAGCCCTAACCCCGCCCGAACACCTTGACTTTAGGGGAGCTCCCCCATATCCCTAAACCCTTAAACCCTAAACCCTAAACCCTAAACCCTAAACCCTAAACCCTAAACCAAAACCCTAAACCCTAAACCGGGAACGGTGGGGGGGGGGATGGAGGCTCGGGCCATTTGGGTTTAGGAGTCGGGGTTCCTCCAAAAGGATCTACAAGGGCTCTAGAAAGGGAGCAATAAGGGTTCTATATAAAAGGGTCCGAAAGGGTTAAGGTTTAGGGTTTAGGGTTAAGGTTTAGGGTTTAGGGTTTAGGTTTATAAGGTGTGTAGAACTTGGGTTGGGGGCTTAGGGTTTAGGATTTAGGGTGTAGGGCTTGGGGATGAGGGCTTAGGGTTTGGAAGGCCCGAGGCCTTTATCGCGGGGGTTCGTAAAACCAGGACAACCTTACTGAAGCGTCGGTATGGCAACTGAAATGGCTTAGTTTACCGTAAGCATATAAATATAGAAGTGTGTGTGTGTATATATACATATATATATATATATATTATGTGTACGTATATATGCATACCATCAGCACGATAAGCAGAATAACCATATCGTAAGTCATGATCAAACCAGCATATTCATCATCATAACAGTGCTTATAGGCATGAGTGCTATCCTTTGCTGGGGGACCTACGAATTTATAGCAACACACGCCTTAGGGCTCATGGCCTCTAGGGTCTTTAGAGTTTGGGGCTAAAGGTTTTTGAAGCTGCGGTGCAGTCGGTTAGGTTGTAGGATTTTGGTGCCTAAGGAATCACTAAGGGATAGACGGAATAAACAAGTCCTAAACCGCAAGCTCTCGGCCGATCCAAAGCAGCGAATTCGTCCAAAATCCCCTGTCCCCAGGGCGGATGGCAAAAGTCGACATGAAAGAACCCGGAAAGGGTGTTTTGGGTTTGGGGTTTGGGATTGGAAAGACAGGCGTGACAAACCCCGAACACCTTCGCCCACCCCACAAACCAACAAGCCTGAAACCAAAAAACAGACCTTCAAACTGCAAACCCTTACGTAAACCCCCTCTAAGCCCAATCGCATCCCCTTGCCCCATAAACCCTAAACGCCCTAACCCTGTAAACCCTGCAAGCCTTAAGAACAAAGGCTATGAACCCCCAAAACTTTACCCTGCACCCTACCCCCTGCACCCTAAGCCCTACGTCCCTACGTCATTCAAACCTCGCAGCGAGGCAACTTCATAGAATGCAGGGGCCTTAATAATTACAGTAGGGGCCTAAGGGCTCCTTACTGTAATTAAAGGAGTTTAGGGCCGTTTAGGGTTTAGGGTTTAGGGCCCCAAAACTCTATTCTAATTATTGAGGCCCCTACATTACCATAACCATCATCAGGAACCCGACGGAATAGTAATTTGGACTCATTCTTCACACCTCTACCAGGTTCCCCAGTAGCCCCCTGATGAACCCTAAACCCTCAACCCTAAACTAGGGTTTAGGGTTTAGGGCTTACGGTTTAGGGTTTAGGGCCCTCAACCCTAAACCCTAAACCTAGTGAACCCTGAACCCTCAAGCCTGCAACCTTCGCAGCGAGGATGCTTCGACCCAGTGCGCCAGGGAGTCCAGCAGCGAGGCCATGGCAGCTACGCTCCAAATGTGTTCGTTTAGGGTTTAGGTTTTAGGGTTCAGTGTGTCGTGTTTGGGGTTTAGGGTGTAGGTTGCTTTATGAAGGACTTCCTTGCTGTTGCACAGGGTGCAATGTTGTTCGCTTTCATAGGGCTTTTTCTTGGGTTTTCTGAGTGCTGGGGTCTTTAATCCTGCATTTCCCATGTGCTGAGGCTTTAGGCTTGAGGGACTTCAGGGCAGCGAGCTGAAAGTCTTTGCGGTGTGAATCTGAGGATTTCATGCTTGGGGGTTGGGGTGTGGGGGAGTTCGGGGACTCAACATGGAAGTTTCCAGGGGTACCTTGTTTTGGGGCCCTTATAATAAGGATCCTACTATTTAGGGTGCTATATTAGGGTCCCCTATTTTCGGAAACCCCCACATGTACTTCTCCTGCAACCGCACGACTCGGCAGGAAGACAATTGAGGGCCTGGGGCAGCAACCTTCCAAACTCCCCGGAAGAGGGTTTAGGGTTTAGGGTGACCCGCAAAAGTAACTCAAAACTGCAACCAGGCACCACGAGGAATGAGTTTCACCAGGATGTGGTGTTTCGGCTTACGGAAGGTCCTTGCAGTATTTAATTCCCTGTCGCTTCAGGCCGTTATCGGTGGTTCATCTTATCGTTTTTCGCCATGCGAAAAAAAGAGAGACTAGCGCGTTCATCAAAAAAGTAGTGACGGTAGCAGTAGAGTAACAGTGGGGGGGTGGAGCAGAACGTCACAAAACCTTGTGCGTCGAAAAACGGCGCCCCACGACGTTCGTTTATGGTGGCAGTAGTAGTAGCAGTAATAGTAGTAGAAAGGGGAAGCAGTGGTAGTAGTAGTAGTAGTAGTAGTAGTAGTAGTCGTCGTCGTCGTCGGCGTCGTGGTCGTCTGTAGTCGTAGTCGTAGTCGTAGTCGTAGTCGTAGTCGTAGTCGTAGTCGTAGTCGT